TTGTTGTACAGGGTAGGATTACCTATTCTTGCAACATGATTGTTTATATGTAAAACACATCTTACTATTGCCTATTTTTGTTGCTTTTGTTCATGACAAGAATTGTCAATATGGAATGTATACCTTTTACGCTACCAACTTAATAAAGAAGTTAAAAGAAAGACTGCACTGATTGTTATATTATAAAGAAATCATCTAAAAGACATGGTGAAGATTATAAGAAATAGAGTATCAATAGATTTTTCAAATGTTTGGCAAGGAAGAAAAGAAATTACAAAAAATGCTTGGAAACTGATTCTATCCTTTTTTTATTCACACTCACTTTAAAAAAATGCTTGTTTGCAACGCTCAGGTTAACTTTTTCTGACAGTTGACTGATGGGCAGCAAAAATTCTTGATCAAGAGTACAGCTCAGAAACCAAGCTGCATGAAATTGAACACTGGCTTCATCGTACAGTAGCTAGTTTCCTTGAGCAATTACTTAGCCTCATTGTACCTCTAAATTTGCTTATCTGCGAAATAAGTGTACTTAGAAGAATGTTTATAAGTGTGAAATGACTTAAGTGCTGAGCATATAGTAGTTACTTTGTAACCATGAGCTATGCTTACTATTGATAGCCTCTAATACAGAGATTCTAACCTGGACTCTCTGGCACAGAGCAGTGCAGGTAGTGGTCTCTGGCAGAATAAGCTTCAGGATGACCTGGGTCTTTATATTCCTCAGATAACAATGTCTTGGTATTTTTCTGTAGGTAGATGTTGTACAGCTAACAAAACTTACTAGCTACGGAGAGTACAGTAAATCTAGAATTCTTTTTGTCACACTTTTCTGTCTGATTGACTCAACATAGGGTTAAGCAATTTATAGGCTAATTTCCAGGACAGATAGAACAGACTTTGAATTACTGGATGATAGGTTATAGAGAATTAATTACAAAAGCACTTACCAAGGTTTTTGTGGATTGAAGTCACTAGGTAAAGGTAATCCTTAACAAACTATCAATGTTAAGGATTCTTGCTTATACTTTGTTCCACAAATTTTTAACTTTATGTAGTATTTCAGATGAACATAAAAAGTAATATAAACTAAATTCCCATCAATAGACTGAACAGATGTTAGCATTTTACTTTATTGTGTCAAGTTTCTTTTCTTTCTTAAGGGAAATAAAACTACAGATACAGCCCCTTCCTTACTCGTAGTAATATATTTAACTTGTTAAGAAGCTGAAGTGTTTGTGCCATCTTAAATGCCCACCAGGAGATGAGAGTTGAGTTCATAACTTCATCAAGCTGTTGGCTAGTCCTGCTTTCAGCCCTAGCAGTTGTCTCATAATTCTGATGGACATTTCATAAATGACAAATGGTAGCGCATCTTTTCATGTGCTCAGTTATCATTTGTGTATCTTTGGTGAGATATAGTTAAACCTGCCCACTTAATTGGGTTTTTCTTACCAGGTTTTGAGAGTTCTTTAGATAGTCTAGACCTATGTTTACTCTCAGGCTTTCAAAACACATTTTAAATTTTGATTATGTCAAATATATATTTTCTTCATGGATTGTGCTGTTGATGTATCAATGAAATCTTTGTATAACCTAAGGTAATACTTTTGCTAGCAGTTTTATAGGTTTAGGCTTTATATTCTGGACTATGGCCCATTTTGAGCTGATTTTTGTATGTGGTGCAAGATATTAAGTATTTTTGGCATATGGGTTTCCAGTTCTAGCACCATTTGTTTAAAATTTTTTTCCTTTCTCTACTGACTTGACATTTTACCTTAATGAGAAAATAACTTTTCCATATATCAGTGTATCAGTTTTTCCACTATATTCTATTCCAGACCTATTGTCTGGATGCTGAAACTATACTCTCCTGATTATTGCACTATTACAATAAGCCTTGAAATAAGTTTACTAAAACATTAAAAAGTGTTAGTCCTCCAACTCCTTCAAACAGTTTTGACTATTAGATGTCTTCTGC